GCCCCAGATCGAGGGAGATTATCAGTGGTCTTGTATGTCTTCCATTTCCTAATATTTGCTCCCACAGTTGATTTCTTCAAACCAAGATGCTTACCTATTGCAGATTCAGTCTTCCCAGCCTGGTGCAGGTCTACAATTTTGTTTATGGTGTCCTTTGACAGCTCTTTGGTCTTGGCCATAGTGGAGTTTGGAGTGTGACTGTTTGAGGTTGTGGACAGGTGTCTTTTATACTGATAACAAGTTCAAACAGGTGCCATTAATACAGGTAACGAGTGGAGGACAGAGGAGCCTCTTAAAGAAGAAGTTACAGGTCTGTGAGAGCCAGAAATCTTGCTTGTTTGTAGGTGACCAAATACTTTTTTTCCACCATAATTTTCTAATAAATTCATTAAAAATCCTACAACGTGATTTTCTGGATTTTTTTTTCTCAATTTGTCTGTCATAGTTGACGTGTACCTATGATGAAAATTACAGGCCTCTCTCATCTTTTTAAGTGGGAGAACTTGCACAATTGGTGGCTGACTAAATACTTTTTTCCCCCACTGTATATGCCAATTATATGAGGGTCCTACCGCATTCTGTTCCCTATCAACACTTTTTAAACTTTTGGTGCCAACGAGAATGAAGTCAAGACGACTAGCTTGATTGGGTCTCCGCCATGTACAGTGGGGAAAAAAAGTATTTAGTCAGCCACCAATTGTGCAAGTTCTCCCACTTCAAAAGATGAGAGAGGCCTGTAATTTTCATCATAGGTACACGTCAACTATGACAGACAAATTGAGAAAAAAACATCCAGAAAATCACATTGTAGGATTTTTAATGAATTAATTTGCAAATTATGGTGGAAAATAAGTATTTGGTCACCTACAAACAAGCAAGATTTCTGGCTCTCACAGACCTGTAACTTCTTCTTTAAGAGGCTCCTCTGTCCTCCACTCGTTACCTGTATTAATGGCACCTGTTTGAACTTGTTATCAGTATAAAAGACACCTGTCCACAACCTCAAACAGTCACACTCCAAACTCCACTATGGCCAAGACCAAAGAGCTGTCAAAGGACACCAGAAACAAAATTGTAGACCTGCACCAGGCTGGGAAGACTGAATCTGCAATAGGTAAGCAGCTTGGTTTGAAGAAATCAACTGTGGGAGCAATTATTAGGAAATGGAAGACATACAAGACCACTGATAATCTCCCTCGATCTGGGGCTCCACGCAAGATCTCACCCCGTGGGGTCAAAATGATCACAAGAACGGTGAGAAAAAATCCCAGAACCACACGGGGGGACCTAGAGAGTGACCTGCAGAGAGCTGGGACCAAAGTAACAAAGCCTACCATCAGTAACACACTATGCCGCCAGGGACTCAAATTCTGCAGTGCCAGACGTGTCCCCCTGCTTAAGCCAGTACATGTCCAGGCCCGTCTGAAGTTTGCTATAGTGCATTTGGATTATCCAGAAGAGGATTGGGAGAATGTCATATGGTCAGATGAAACCAAAATATAACTTTTTGGTAAAAACTCAACTCGTCGTGTTAGGAGGACAAAGAATGCTGAGTTGCATCCGAAGAACACCATACCTACTGTGAAGTATGGGGGTGGAAACATCATGCTTTGGGGCTGTTTTTCTGCAAAGGGACCAGGACGACTGATCCGTGTAAAGGAAAGAATGAATGGGGCCATGTATCGTGAGATTTTGAGTGAAAACCTCCTTCCATCAGCAAGGGCATTGAAGATGAAACGTGGCTGGTTCTTTCAGCATGACAATGATCCCAAGCACACCGCCCGGGCAACGGAGTGGCTTTGTAAGAAGCATTTCAAGGTCCTGGAGTGGCCTAGCAAGTCTCCAGATCTCAACCCCATAGAAAATCTTTGGAGGGAGTTGAAAGTCTGTGTTGCCCAGCGACAGCCCCAAAACATCACTGCTCTAGAGGAGATCTGCATGGAGGAATGGGCCAAAATACCAGCAACAGTGTGTGAAAACCTTGTGAAGACTTACAGAAAACGTTTGACCTGTGTCATTGCCAACAAAGGGTATATAACAAAGTATTGAGAAACTTTTGTTATTGACCAAATACTTATTTTCCACCATAATTTGCAAATAAATTCATAAAAAATCCTACAATGTGATTTTCTTGATTTTTTTCCCTCATTTTGTCTTTCATAGTTGACGTGTACCTATGATGAAAATTACAGGCCTCTCTCATCTTTGTAAGTGGGAGAACTTGCACAATTGGTGGCTGACTAAATACTTTTTTCCCCCACTGTATATCTCACTAGATCAGGATATTTAAGCCTCCATATATCTACTAGTTCTAATGTATCCATGACATTCATGATTTCCTTAAGAGCATGAGGGTGATAGTTTGTAGAGTGATTTCCTTTACGGTCCATTGAGCTATTTAAAACAGTATTATAATCTCCCACCATAATAATAGAGTCTTGTATTGCTTGCAGGGTTGATAACTTATTATATATATTGTCAAAGAAGTGTGGATCATCATTATTTGGTCCGTAAAGGTTAATGAGCCATATCTGTTTATTGTCCAATAACATATTTAAAATAATCCATCTACCTTGCGGATCTGTTTGGACAATTTGCACATTAGGATCGAAATGACTGTTAATTAATATCATCACCCCTTTTGAGTTTCTTTGCCCATGGGAGAAGTATATTTCTGATTTCGCATAATAACTAAAGGCTGCCACTCCATGCCTCTTGGTCCTAGGCTTTGGGATAGTTAAAAGGCCAGTGCCAGAGGACCTGAGGGACCTTCTGGGTACATAACTCAAAAGCATCTCTGAAATGTACAGTGGTGGAAAAAGTACCCAATTGTCATACTTGAGTAAAAGTACAGATACCTTAGTAGAAAATGACTCAAGTAAAAGTGAATGTCACCCAGTAAAATACTACTTGAGTAAAGGTCTGAAAGTGTTTGGTTTTAAATATACTTAAGTATCAAAAGTACATGTCATTGCTAAAATGTATAAAGTAAAAGTATAAATCATTTCAAATTCCTTATATTAAGCAAACCAGACGGCAGCATTTTCTTATTTTTGAAATGTACGGATAGCCAGGGGCATATTCCAACATTTAGACATAATTTACAAATGAAGCATGTGTGTTTAATGAGTCCGCCAGATCAGAGGCAGTAGGGATCAGGGATGTTTTGTTGATAAGTGTGTGAATTGGACTATTTTCCTGTGCTGCTAAACATTCAAAATGTAACAAGTACTTTTGGGTGTCAGGGAAAATGTATGGAGTAAAAAGTACAATATTTTCTTAAGGAATGTATTAAAGTAAAAGTTAAAGTTGTCAAAAATATAGATAGTAAAGTAAAGTACAGATACCCCAAAAAACGACATAAGTAGTACTTTAAAGTATTTTTACTTAAGTACTTTACACCACTGGAAATGTATTGGGGTGCACAATCGTGGATTGATTTAAAAACCAATAGAAACAATTAATTCTAAAACTCACAGGCAGCCAGTGCAGAGACCTTAAAACCGGTGTAATGTGTGCTCTCCATCTGGTCTTGGTCAGTACTCGTGCTGCAGCATTCTGTATGTTAGGCAGTTGACCAATTGCTTTCTTGGGTAGACCAGACAGTAGGCAAGCCTGCTTGTAATAAAAGCATGGATGAGTCTCACTGTAAACGTCCACATCTTGGCAATATTCCTCAGGTATAAAAAGCTATTTTGGTCACATTCCTAATGTGTGATTCGAAATTGAGTTCAGAATCTAAAATGACACCTAGGTTTTTTTACCTGGTGTTTTATCTTTATTGCCCGTGAATTAAACGTGCGGCCAGATTCTCTCTCTATGCTTTGGCTCCAACAATAAGTACCTCGGTCTTGTCTTGATTTAGCTGGAGGAAGTTGTGAGACATCCAAGTATTTAAATCACTAATACAGTCTAAAAATCTATGCTTTGCTTTCTGATAACGCTGCCAAGGGGTAACATATATAAACTGAACAGTACTGGACACAACATGTGATACAGTGAGGGAAAAAAATATTTGATCCCCTGCTGATTTTGTACGTTTGCCCACTGACAAAGAAATGATCAGTCTATAATTTTAATGGTAGGTTTATTTGAAGAGTGAGAGACAGAATAACAAAAAAAAAATCCAGAAAAACGCATGGGGATGGTGTGTATAATAATTAATTACTACATTGTTGGGTTTAGAGCTTGCACGAAAGGCATTTCACTGTACTTGTGCACGTGACATTAAAACTTGAAACTTGAAGGGACCATTTCAGGTCCTCAGTGATGTGCACGCCGAGGAACTTGAAGCTTTTGACCCTCTCCACTGCGGCCCCGTCGATGTGGATGGGAGCGTGCTCTCTCTAATGTCTCCTGCAGTCCACAATCAGCACCTTCATTTTGTTGACGTTGAGGGAGAGGTTATTTTCCTGGCACCACTCCTCCAAGGCACTCACCTCCTCCCTGTAGGCTGTCTCGTCGTTGTTGTTAATCAGGCCTACCACTGTTGTGTTTTCAGCAAACTTCATGATTGAGTTGGAGACTAGGCCGCGACCGGGAGACCCATGGGGCGGCGCACAATTGGCCCAGCGTCGTTTGTAACACCTGGGTTGAGGGTTTGATTCCCACTTGATTCCCACGGGGGGCCAGTATTAAAAATAAAAACATAATATATGCACTCACTAACTGTAAGTCGCTCTGGATAAGAGCGTCTGCTAAATGACTAAAATGTAAATGTAAAATGAGACGTGCGTTGCCACGCAGTCCTGGGTGAACAGGGAGTACAGGAGGGGGCTGAGCACGCAGCCCTGTGGGGCCAACGTGTTGAGGATCAGTCAATGGCCTTAAGTCAAGTAAGTCTGATTATATCCCTATTTCCTCCCTCTGGTCAGAAATGTTCATGTAAAGTCAGTAAGCAGTGCACACACACCTAAGTGACAATATTGACTAAAGGAGAGACCCTCCCTTTCCTGAGTTCAGGGTTTGATATTGCATGAATGACATACAGTGGGTGTGGACTCCACATGTGGAGCTACTGTTGATCTCATACAGTATGTAGCGGCTGTAGACGACACATCACATGGATACTGTCTGTGGACTCTGGTAAAGGGAGCAGCTGGAACTATCATAACCCTGCTAAGAAAGACACAGCTACCATTGAGGAGCCATGGCCTCCCTTGGACAGATCATCTTCTGGGGGTGAGACCTCTATTCAATGTGTATTTGTTAGTTGAGGCCCAGCAACAGTTGTGCTTCTTATCACCAACAAGTGCATAGTGAGATGAATTTATCATTGGATATCGTGATATTCAATTGACTTGGAAAGGTCTTGATATCCCCCCCACATCTCCATTTGCAGCCTAATAGTCAGTATCTTCGTAACTGCTGGACTCATCATCCTCATCTTGTCTGTGTCATTTTCAGGTATGTAGTGAGCATATATATTCACTTGTGTCACCATCATTGTCAATATTCTTGACATGTCTCTGTTAACATGTAACATGTATTTGAGCATATGTGAGAGTGCATGTGTACCTGTGTGCGTTTGCCAGTGTGTGTGTGTAACTATAGTGCCTACGTACTGCACACATCTCTGTGTATGTGAATTAAGCCTCCTGTATGTTGTGTTCTGTTTTGCTGTGTGCTGTCCTCTAGGTCAGGGTTTGGGGGGTTCCAAGGGCACTGTGGATAGCATTGACAAGTGGCCCATTGGGAACTTGGGGGAAGATGTCATCCTGAGCTGCAAGTTCAAGACTTCCACTAACAGCAGGGAATCGACCAGTCAGGTTTCAATCACCTGGACGAAGGAGGGGCTAAGTGAGGTGGTGTACAAGTACGATAAAGGAGCAGTCCAGCTGACGGAGCAAAACCCCCAGTTTAAAAATAGAACCCTGCTGTTCTCAGACGCCATAGGTGGAGGCAATGCCTCTCTGTTGCTGAGGGACGTGAAAGTGGGAGACAAGGGGGTGTACTACTGCAGTGTGAGCACTGCTAGTTGCTCGGGGACTGCCAGTGTTCACCTCAGGGCTGCAGGTAAGGAGACAACTTGTTAGGCATTCTCAATATTTCACACTGAATATTGAACTACACACAAAGTAGCCTACTCTGAAAATATGCTTCACTTCAGCTTTCTCAGACCCCAAATTCAAGCGGGTAAACAGTACCCTGACGGCAGAGGCAGAGAGATGGTTCCCCAAACCAAACGTCACCTGGTTGGACGTCAATGACAACGTCCTGAGCAAGAGTGAAACTAGCTTCTTCAACAACTCTGCCGGGATAACTCGATTCATCAGCTCCCTTCAGCCAATCGAATTGTATGATAGCTACACCTGCATCATCCAAAACCCTCTGGTGAAGGCTGTCTCCCAGGCAACCGTCAAAGGTCCAGTAAGCACCTTTCAGGGCAAAGAAAATACTATTTTATACTGAGCAAATACCTGGATGAGAACTGCATGTTAGACAACTCTCACCCAGTTTAAAAACTTTTACAAAAGTTAAGTCACTCACTCAGGTGAGGACACCTACACCCTCTTCAGTCTATTTCACCATGACAACCCGGCCAACCATGAAAGCTAAACAAAAAATAAAGATACAATTAAAGTGGCATTTAACCCTACCACTGACTGGGAGCTCTCTATGACTTAACTAACATTAGTAATTGAGTACAAAACATTAAGAACACCTGCTCTTTCCATGACATAGACTGACCAGGTGAATCCAGGTGAAAGCTATCCCTTATTGATGTCACTTTAAATAAAGATTTTTAAGCCTTGAGACAATTAAGACATGGACAAGACAGGGTGAATGGGCAAGACAAAACATTTAAGTGTCTTTGAATGGGGTATGGTAGTAGTTGCCAGGCGCGGTTTGTGTCAAGAAACACTGCTGCAGGGTTTTTCACGGTCAACAGTTTCCCGTGTGTATCAAGAATTGTCCACCACCTAAAGGACATGTAGCCAACTTGACACAACTGTGGGAAGCATTGGGAGTCAACATGGGCCAGCATCCCTGTGGAGGGGGGGGGGGGGGGGGGGGGGGGGGGGGGTCCTAATGTTTGGTATACTCAGTGTATGTTTGGCAGTGTGCATACTGTAGAGTCAGCATCTTTTTTTAAATTACAGATACAGAGATATCAGCAAGGACTTTCTTCTCCTTCAATACTTCAGCTGCACCGCCGATACTACTACCTCAATGGCACGTCCTCGCAGCTACAGCCAGTGTCTTTCTCTGGATCTACCAGCTAACCTGATAAACACATACACACCAACTACTCCTCATAGCCTACAGACAAGGTTACTACTCCTCATAGCCTACAGACAAGGTTTTCTAAAAGTACTGTGGTAAAGTGAACTGGTCTGGCACTATCCACTAGCCTTGGGCTACCTGGAGTCTGATGGAATTTGTGTGTAGATAAACTGTGTGTGTGTGTGTGTGTGTGTGTCTGTGTCTGTGTGTGGCTATAGGTTATCTAACAAGTGGTGAAATTATACAGCAGCAATGCTGTAATTACATAATAATAACAATTACCTTTTTGTTTCTATGGAATTCACTGTGGCAATCAGTCTACTGGGCTCTCAGTGTAAAACATGAATATATAGGACTATAGTTTCTCTTTTTTAAATAAAATGTAAATTCTTTGAAATGGTTTGAGTTTGGTGCTTGTTGAAGTTCATTCTGTGATAGCCCCATGGGCCATTCATGGTCTTTCAAACCAGTAGATGGGGCCTGCGGGTAAAAATATTTTGTCTGTGCTGAGTTGAGGGGCTTGGGACGTCTTTTATTTCTCTGCTTCAGATCGGGTTCAACTTTAAACCACGCCTGGGGAAGCCAAGGATGTTTTTCATTGGTCTGGAGAAGAGGGTTTCATGTTTCCAGTGGAAGAGAGAAACGTCCCTAGTGTGGAGTTTTACGGATGAAAAGTATAGGGTGTAGGAAACAGTGTAACAATAGTTATATACCTACATAGGCCTACATTGAATGTTATTTTGAAGTTACGGTATGTATGCTGGGGCTTTCTGTTGCCTACTGACTGTAAACTACGCTACTGATATAGTTGCAAATTTGTAGCCTAGGTCGATTTCGGACACCGGAATTTTTTCTTCTTCAACAAAATCTGGCAACAAAGTGTTTTGAAATAAACGAGACAAGACTATATAACACCATGTCACTTTGTGACAAAAATTTGGAAAAAGATGTGGATTCCTCGCCAACCCCGACCACAAACTCGAGCTCTAAAAACGGAGATAAGGGGGACGTCGTGATCAATGCGAGGGCAGTGTGCCGCGTTTGTAAATGTTTATATCGCGAGCCTAAAATTATGCAGTGTTTACACACCTTCTGCGCAGACTGCGTTCGTCAACTGGAACCATTTTCGGTGTCTTCGGGCGTACACAATGGCAAAGCGGTCCCTCTGGAAGGCGAGCAGCCCTCCTCTGCCGTAACCGTTCTCTGTCCGGAGTGTGACTCCGAGGTGGACATTCCGTTGTCCGGGGTGGACGGGCTGACCACTGACCACTTGGCTCTGGACGAAGTGTTTCTGGAGACGCTGATGAGCAAGAACTCTGTGGTATGCGACCTGTGCAGCGACGGGGGGGCAGAGAAGCGTTGTGAGGTGTGCAGTGTCAACCTCTGTGAGTTTTGTATTCAAGCACACAGGTTAGTGCAAAAAAATCTATTTGTAACTCATGTTCAATCTTTCAACTTTGTTGCAAGTTGACTAGTCTAGGATTATGGTAGGTTCCCGACTCCTATTTAAACTTTGAGATAGCCTATGAGCTGGCGACTTGCCTTTTATTACATGATAGCTGTAGGCAGGTAGGCTACATGCAATTACAGGGTAATAAGTAGGACCAATGAGTTCACCATCTCCACCTTCTTTACTCCCCAGGAGACAGAAGAGGACGTCGTCTCACACCGTCCAGTGTCTGGAGGACCTGAAGACCCAGGGTCGTCTCTCTCGGCCCGTCCTGTGCTCCCTCCACCCTGGCCAGGAGCTGCGTCTCTTCTGTGAGCCCTGTGACCTACCTGTCTGCCTGGAGTGTGCCGCCACCTTCCACCGCGACCACCGCTGCCTCCCCACACGTGACGTCATCGACCGCCATGGGGGCCGTATCCGAGATCTGGTTACCGGGCGCCTGCGTCCACGGCTGGACCAGCTGGAGGAGTCACTGCGGAAGGTGGACCTATCTCAGGAGGCCTTGCAGGCCAGAGTGGATGAGGCGGTGGACGAGGTGCGTACCTTCGCAAGGGGCTACGCTAGCGCTGTAGAGTCGCACTGCCTGTTGCTGCTACGGCGCTTAGAGGAGCTGGGTCTGCAGCGCAGGAATCATCTCCACCTGCAGAGGGCGCAGCTGCAGCAGGCCCTGAAGGACACCCGTGGGGGGGTGGAGTTCGCGGAGCGGCTGCTGACCTGCGGGTCGGATGCAGAAATCCTCAGTGCTAAGGATGTGACCCTCCGCAGGCTGGCTGGCCTGATGGAGACGGGCTACAACCCCCACCCAGCAACCATCACCCCTTATGACGGTAGCAGTATCTGCTTCCTGCCACGGGAGAGTGCAGGCGTGGTGGCTGGGTACCCTATGGTGGGGGTGATCCACGCCAAGACCCTGGAGCTCAGCAGGTGCACCATCGAGGGGGAAGGTGAGACCCTGTCCAAGGCCCCGTCCAGAAACAACCCTTAGGCCCTAAGGCCTATATTCCCTAGCCCCTACTTCTGAGGCACTTCCCCTGTCCCACTTTTAACAACCTGAAGGCAACCTCTTTAACTATGTTTAGGAGATGCTCTTTTACAACAGACCTACGCACGCACGCACGCACGCACACACACACACACACACAAACATTGCCCTTAGGCACTGATACAGTATGTAAAGGATAAGTAGTGGGTGACATTCCTGGTCTCTATGGAAACATTTCAAGTGGCAGGTATTTCCTTTGTCAGAACACAGGTATTTGAGACCCCTCTCTTTTGTTGTGTGGTACTCACACAACGCTCTGTAGCAGCATGCCCACTGTGATAGTACAAAGAGCTATTCCCTGCTGTGGCTAATGTTTGCCTGCTGAGCTGAGCTGAGCTGGAGATGCAGGGCTTCAGCAAATAGAGACTCTCTCTGTGTCAAAGTCAACTGCCACTAGTCAAATTCATTTAAATGTAGTGACAGATGTCAATCCATAAAGCATGTGTGTGTGTTTGGTCTGTCTGCCTACTACAGGGCCTTGGAGAGTGTTTGTGAGAAGAGTGGAGAAAGAACCTGCAGCCCATGTCACTGTTTCTTTACATTCCCAGTTTCTGCGTCTGAGGATAAGGATGTAATAGGATTAGTGCCCATGTTTAGCATTTATAAACAAAGCCATAGATTACACAAGGCTGTAGTATCTACACATCAGGAAATACAGGCTTAAGCCATTCTTATCAATCATACAGTATTTACAAATGTGTGCCCATGTTAAAACCACACAGGCTCTGAGATTAGAGATTGAAGTCAGGGGTTTGGCCCACTGTAGTGTAGGACAGGTGAAGCAGTAAACTGTGTGTTAAGAGCAACAGCTGCTGGTGCAGTGTGACAGGGTGCATGGCTGTCACCAGAACACACCCACACCCCACCACCAGTGTCTCGATCAGAGTGGCTTTATGTGCTTATGTATAGACAGAGCTTTCTACTTAAGTACTACCCTAAAAGGTATTTCAGGGGGAAACAACCTTTGTCAGCGCTGAGAGGGAGGAATACGTATGTGTGTGTGTCTCTGTGTGTGTCTGTGTGTGTGTGTGAGAGACTGACCTCTAAACTGTCCCTGCCCCCAGGTGTGCAGCGTGGCAGGGAAGGCCAGAGAGGGGAGTTCACCCTGGTGTGTAGAGACTCTGCTGGGGAGCAGATGGGTCGTGGAGGGGAAGCTGTCCTGGTCAGCATGGTCCACAAGGAGAAGAAAGACTGGTGAGGAACCAGATGATCTGCAGCACACACATCTACCCTGTTCTCTGTACTACTGGGTGTGCAGGATTTCGGATCTGATTGAGTTAATCAAGGTCTTGATGATTAGTTGTTATTTAGTCAGGATCATTATGAGATGATGCTGTTATAAAGGGGTCATACATGCTTTGTAAGTTGTACCATGTGTTATAACTACATCATCAAATATATCTGTTGCTGTTAATAACTTGTGTCCTCTGCAGCAGAGTGGAGGCGGCGGTGGTGGATAACAGTGATGGCTCCTATTCTGTCTCCTACACCCCCATGGAGCCAGGGTTCTACTCCGTGTGGGTGTGTGTCAAGACCCAACACGTTAAGGTACTGGACAGTATTTGATAATGATAATGACGGTAATCGTGACAATCATGATTTAGTAATAATACTAGTAAACATGCTTACTTAATGACCCTGGCAATCCCTTCACCCTCCAGGGCTCCCCCTTTGTCCTGAATGTGAAGAGACAGGTCCGATGGCACCGTGGAACGTTCCACTGCTGTTCCTTCTGCTCCAGTGGGGGTTCTAAAGGGGCCCGTTGTGGCTGCACGGGCACCATGCCAGGTAGGTACAGCAGACTACAGGGTACTTGGCTAGGTATGTTTGAAATGGGATAGATAGGTACGCTGAATCGAAAATAGACTATCTGCGGAACTCAATGGAGAGGCCACATCTAGTACTGGTGCAGGGATAATGCTAGGTATGTCCTCTAGGGGCAGTATGCCAATTATGTGTAGCAGCGTAAAGGCTACTGAGGGACCGGTACGCTAGGTATGTGCAGAATGGGAAATGTCACATCAGGTAACAGTAACTCTCTTTACGGCTCTGTGTCTGTCAGTATGTCCACCATGACATTATGCACCACTGCACCAGACAGATTTACTAAGCATTTGCAGATGTGCACCTGCTATTTTCCAAAGTGAATAAAACACAGACGGTCACGGTAGCTTTGCTTTTCATCTCTTACTCCTTTCTGAAAATACCAGGTACAAACTATGAATTGTACTCTCGCCTTTTGTGTGTGTGCAGGAGGGTTCCAGGGCTGTGGTCATGGCCATAAGGGTCACCCTGGTAAGCCCCACTGGTCATGCTGTGGCAGTACGGTGGAGGCCTCAGAGTGCCTGCCACAGAGTGTGATAACGGCAGTGGGGGAACAATAACAGCAGTGGGGGGGACAGGCTCGCCCCGGGGCCACCTCAGGACAGTGGAGCTCTGAGGGACAGGGCCAGGACAACCCTACCCCACCAGACATCATGGGTCTACGAATCAACCCTTTCAGATGATGAACGAAATACTGGGAAAGAAGTGGGACAGTGGGGATAAATGTTAGAAGAAATTAATGAAGAAAAAGTCAATAACTTGAAAGGCCGCAGCATTACTTATGAATTTCTATTTTCTATTAAATATACCCACAAGCTGTAGATTTTATACACACTACACAAAACAATATTTGTTGTGGTCCACTACTGTAGCTAACTGTTCTGTTTTTTCTATTGTTGTGCATGTGCATGTTACATCACCAGACTGACTTAGTGCCTTTTATGTATTTGAAAGACCCTTATTTTTATTGTTAATAAATAACACTGGAATAACTTAATGTGTCGTACAATATTAACAACAGTTATGAGGTTTCTATCCTGAATACAAAGCATAACATGCATACTTCCTAATACATTTAGTCATTGTTTAGAATACACAACACAGTGATATTTTGTTGTCACTGCGGTTCCTCTCTCTGCCACCTTATGGCAGTAGTGGGCTATTCACTCCTACTTCAGCCCATCATACCATCTCTGGAATGGAAATATTCCATTAAATACGAGCTACTTAGAGAATACTTATTAGTGGGGACAGTGCCTAATCAAGTACAATACCTATTTAATTACGCTATATTGGAATTGAGTAATAATGCAATGACCGTTCTCACCAGATATCATGTTTAGCTGGTTGTACAGTTGTTGATGTTGCCAACATGGAAGCTGTACCACTGCATGTTGGTTGAAAAGCTGTTTTACTACTGGTGTTAGACTTAACAAAACTTAAGTAAAAATACTTTAAAGTACTACTTAAGTCGTTTTGGGGGGTATCTGTATTTAACTTTACTATTTATATTTTTGACATCTTTTACTTTTACTCCACTACATTCCTAAAGAAAAAATAATGTACTTTTTACTACATACATTTTCCTTGACACCCAAAAGTACTCGTTACATTTTGAATGCCTAGCAAGACAAGAAAATGGTCCAATTCACACACTTATCAAGAGAACATCCCTGGTCATCCCTACTGCCTCTGATCTGGTGACTCACTAAACTCAAATGCTTCGTTTGTAAATTGTCTGAGTGTTGGAGTGTGCCCCTGGCTATCCGTAAATTTAATAAACAAGAAAATTGTGCCGTCTGGTTTGCCTAATATAAGGTAATTAATAATATAAAGTATATATTAGCAATTACATTTACATTTTGATACTTAAGTATTTTAAAAAACAAATACTTTTAGACTTTTACTCAATTAGTATTTTACTGGGTGACTTTCACTTTTACTTGATCATTTTCTATTAAGGTATCTTTACTTTTACTCAAGTATGACAATTGGTTACTTTTCCCACCACTGCAGTGGACTATTAAACTATAGTTTTAGGACTGCGAGGTGGACCCAGGAGAGAAGAAGTTTATGTCATCCTACATTAAACTCTTTAACCCCATTATTGAGAACTGAAGTGACGTGTCTTGTAAGCTTAAGAACCTCTTGTAATACAACATAACAGAAAATGTGATGGGAAAATAATTTGTCTCACACTCATCTCTTAGTCCCCCATTCCTCACCCCTCCCTCTCTGTCTTTCTCCCTGTATTTGTATTCCTTCTCGCAACCGTGTTGTAACACTGTCTGACATCCCACTCTGATAGGCTCTTCATCTCAGGGCTCCAAGAGATGAGCCGCAATGTTCTTCATCATTGCAGAGGTTGAAGTAGAGGTAATTTAAAAGAACATGAACCCAGAGCAGCTTGTAATTATAAATGTACGGTGATGGAATGCCAATGCCTTGTAGAGTCTGACCATGCTGAACTTTGAATAATTTAGTTTAATTTGTTTATAGTAGTAAAACCTCAATTATTAATGTGCATCGCAGGATCCACTTTCTAGCCCAAAAATGCTTAATATATTAGTCAATTCCCTTTGGACTAGATCGATACAGCATCCAGGCCAGATAGAGTGAACTGAGCTGGAGGAATCAACTGCATTGTAGCTATTGCTCCATGGTGCGGTGAGCAGAGTCAGAGATGATTGTCTGTGTGTGTGATATGTAAAGATGACTATGGGTCACTCTGAACACAGTGTAACCTGATTTCACACAGGGGCCATAGCCATAGCCAACACACTAATGTAGTTACATAGCTCTAAATGGACCCTACATCACACAGGAGAGTGGAGTGCCCAATGGTTATCTCCAGGCAATAATGTGAACCTGGCCATTCAGGACTGAATCTACAGAAATCTTGGGCCTAAAAGAGGTGTGTAAGAGTTCCTGAAGAGTTCCTGAATACTACACAGTTTAATTACCCCCACAAACACTGTTCTGACTGACTGAGCATATTTTCTGCCGCAGCGTGGGAGCCCATCCTCTTACCCTTGTCCCGGCACAGATCCCCAGGGTGGTATGATGGTACTCTACTCTGTTGACTGGGTTTAAACCGTCGTAAGTCACCCTCCCATTCACACGGCGCTCCAAAGACAGATGCTGTTTCATTATGTTTACCTGCTGGAGTATGGCGTTTCATTTGCTGCACCAAGGCCTCATCTTTCTAAATCTTTATCTCCCTCACCACCAACCCTCTCTTTGTCTCATTTGTTCTCTCATTGTTTCTTTTTCCCTCTCCACTCTTTTTTTCCTCTCTTGAAGTGTTTGTAATGAGCACTTTGTCTTTGCTGCATTGTTTTATTGGGCTTGAAGTTCACCATGAATCCTCTCCAGGCCAATGAGCCGTAGCCCTCTGACATTGATAACCAGAGGTGCAGCGAAGAAAATGGTCCCCCTCCCTCCGGAACTTGGCTCAGCTTTAAAAGCGTCAGCCCTTTTGTGTTTTAGCCAAAGAGCCACCCGCACAGTGTTTTAAATGTACAGTTTTTGAGCGAGCGTTCGTGACTCACATGATGCGTCTCCAAAGAGGACTCTACATTGATTACAGCACACTCTGTGCCACAGCACCACACCACTAATTCACTCAGTGAGGGGTGTCACATAAATCAGCCCAGTGGCCCTGTGGTGTGGACTGCGGAGTGGGGCCCGAGCTAATGGCAGCTCAAGGACCCACTGACGGACTCGGGCTCCGTCCCCCAACTCAGCAGGACCTGACCGCATTTCAAGATGGATTGACTTCATGTGTCAAGAAATGCTTACTCCGGCCCCCTCATTGACATACTGTAAAATAGGCAGACATAACAACACTAATGGCAACACAACCATTATCACAACTTATACTGTCACTAGACACAGTGTGAATAAATACCTTCAGACATGGGAGAAACAATGGGCAGAAAACACATTTTGTCTGGTAGTCGGGCCAAAAGTAAGCTGACAGATGATTAGGCTAATTGCACGCTTTGTTAGACAAAGAAGAGTGCATTGTATAGGGTCATTGATCTTGTGTCCACACTAAATCTATTCCTACAAAATTAAAATGTTAAAAAAACATCCACTTTCCCATAATTATTCCTAGGCCTAAATGCTCCCGTACCTTAATTGAAGCCCTTGCAAAGTAGTCTTGGAAATCACAGACCTAGGGCAACATTGGTCGTGTTCCCCTGCTCAGACCAATAGTTGCATGCCACATCATCGACTGGGCCTTCAGGTACCAGATTACTATAACATATGATGTGGTTAGCTGATACTTAAATATCTATCCAGGCGTTGTAAGATCTGGCATGCGTCAGCAAAGTATGAGCAGGGGAACACGACCATTGTTAACATTGTAGGAGGCACCTGCCTAGTGTAGTGAGACTACTAAAGCACTAATTGCTGGATCCATACACTGAGTGTAGAAAACATTAAGAACACCTGCTCTTTCCATGACCAGGTGAAAGCTATGATCCCTTATTGATGTCACTTGTTAAATCTACTTCAATCAGTGTAGATGAAGGGGAGGAGACAGGTTAAATACTGATTTTTAAGCTTTGAGACATGGATTGTGTATGTGTGCCATTCAGAGGGTGAATGGGCAAAACAAATATTTAACTGCCTTTGAACAGGGTATGGTAGTGGGTGCCAGGCGCACCGGTTTGTGTCAAGAACTGCAACGCTGGGTTTTTCACGCTCAACAGTTTCCCGTGTGTCTCAATTGTCCACCACCCAAAGGACATCCAGCCAATTTGACACAACTGTGGGAAAAAGTCAACATGGGCCAGCATCCCTGTTGAAATGCTTTCTTTTGACCAATCAGATCTGATTGTCAAAACACCAATTAGTGAGAAAATATCAGAATTGGGCTGCCTGTCTAAACGCAGCCAGAAATGTGCTAATTTACACAGATAAGCACGTTGCAAAAAGCCTTTCGAAATTGATAGACGCTCCCTAAATTTACCAGGCTGGAGATTGAGGGGAGGAGCCGTCGTTCTTTGCAGCAGTATCAACATGCCTGAACGTAGACAGGGCTAGTTATCCACATTGAAAGAAGCAAAGGGGAAAACTCCTAAATGAAATCATAACTAGCTACCTGAAGACATGAGCACATTTCTGGAAACGGTGGACTAGGATGCCTTTCTGTCACCGATTTACTCAAAGGCATTATTGAGGTGCAGCAGCGAAACATAATCGGAACGGACCGCCTCGGATAGCTAGCTAGCTAGCCAGCTTGCTAACAGTACAGTAGCCAGCTAGCTAGATGCCTTTACAGAAAAAGGCACAGTCTTTAGGCCAAGTCGTTTTACAAACCTCAACATATCCGAAAAAAGTAGCTAATATTGCGGTGCATATGTGTTTAATCAGCTAATGGTAGCTAGTCCGTTTCTCCTTTAGCTTTCTGGCTGTGCAAGCCAAACCTGTCAATTCAGCGGATGAACTTGGTATTCTGTGGAGACGCCGCGCGACATTAGGCGCAGGGCCGGGTGAGGAAGCTGAGTAAATATATTGGGAGTATTCAATTAGACGGGATTGATTTTAACCACACAATTTAACAGCAACATTACATTTTACCAGCGCATTTGCTTATGAAATGGTCACGGGGGAATTTCTCGGTAATTTAGGTATTAAGGCTACATCCTTTTCGATGATGCGACAATCGCTCGGATTTTCATTTTTCACTGTTTGAAAGCCTAGCTACGTATCCTGCTCAATTAGTTTAACATTTAGTTAGTTAGGTATTAACAAACAATTGCTTAACTGTATTACTAGTTGTGTCGTTAGGTTTGATTCGGTCGTTTTTTTTCCAGTTCATAACGTTAGTTTTCGGATCACAACCGAAGAACATGGATCAGAATGACAAAAGGATTTGCACGGTAAAATTGGTTTCTCCACGATTATGCTGATTAACTATATATTCTAAAGTGACTGTTTACAATTGAATATTACTGTATTAGTTAGTTACTGTA